AGCAATAATTACCCCAATGGGATTATTCGAATTCCCAAGAATGATCCCAGGATTAAAGAACGGAGGTCAAACTTTCCAAAGATTCATACACGAAGTACTTCATGGACTGGATTTCGTTTTCGCATTTATTGATGATCTCCTTGTTGCAAGCCCTGATAAAGAAACGCACGAAACCCATCTACGCACCGTGCTACAGCGATTAGAAGACAACGGAATCACAATCAACCCTTCGAAATGCATATTTGGACAGCAAGAAGTTCAATTTCTTGGTTTCACCGTCAGCAAGGAAGGAATAAAACCGCCTGCCGAAAAAGTCAGAGCAATCATCGATTATGCAAAACCTAAAACTATCGAAGAGCTAAGGCGTTTTCTTGGGATGATAAATTTTTACAGAGAACACATACCTAAAGCCGCTGAAATCCAAGCACCACTTCACGCCTACCTTCACAACACGAAGAAAAAAGATAAAACGTCAATCGAATGGAACGATGAAGCCACGAAGGCATTTGAAGCTTGTAAAATTGCGATCCAAAATGCAGCTTTACTCGCTCACCCATCACACGAAGCAACCCTTGCTATCTTCAGCGACGCATCCGATCTCTCAGCAGGAGCAGTTCTCCAACAATACAGCAATGGGAAATGGCAACCACTTGGATATTTTTCGAAGAAGTTCTCCGATACTCAACGTAACTACAGTACATTCGACCGAGAGCTACTCGCTATTTACATGGCTATCAAGCACTTCAGAAAAACGTTCGAGGGTCGAAACCTGATCGTTTTTACCGACCACAAGCCATTAACATATGTACTTCCAAAGAAACCATCACTATCGGAAACACCACGAAGAGCAAGACAACTTATTTTCATAAGTGAATTCACGACCGACATACGTCACATCAGTGGAAAGGACAACATAGTTGCCGACGCACTCAGTCGCGTACCAATCGACAGTGTAACGTGTCCTACATCAATCGACTATCATAAGATCGCCGCAGCACAAGACAGAGATAGTGACAACATAAAACATCTAGCGAAGCAAGGTAACTTGTCCATCAAGCAAGTTACAATGCCAATGACGCATCTACCTATATACTGTGAAGCCTCAACGACAACCATGCGACCATACATACCAGAAGAATGTCGTCGCGAAGTCTTCAATACACTGCACAACATTAGTCATCCAGGTGTTAGAACAACAAGAAAACTCATCACTGAAAAATTCTTTTGGCCTGCAATGCAAGCGGATGTTGGCAACTGGGCGAAGCAATGCATTCAATGCCAAAAATGCAAAGTACAAAGGCATACATCAAGTAGTCTAGCTACATTTCCACCCACGGAAAGATTCGAACACTTGCACGTTGACATCGTTGGACCATTACCTACTTCACCGCAAGGACATCGTTATCTCGTAACAATGATCGACAGAACAACAAGATGGCCAGAAGCAATACCTACCGATGATACTTCAGCCGAATCCGTCGCGAAGATAATTTATGAAAATTGGATTACTCGTTTCGGATCACCTAAAACCATCACAACGGATCAAGGAAGGAATTTCGAAAGCAACCTATTCCTCAAACTTCTTCAAACTATGGGAATACAGAAGACGCGTACAACAGCATACCATCCTCAGTCAAACGGAATAATCGAACGATGGCATCGTACATTAAAGACTGCACTCAAAACTCGTTTATCTCAACATACAAAGTGGATTGATGAGCTACCTACAGTGCTACTCGGACTACGAGCAACACCGCGTGCAGACACTAGTCTTAGCGCCGCTCAGCTAACCTGCGGCTGCAGCATAAGGCTGCCGTGTGACTTCTTCAGTTCAGCAGCGTCAAACAAACAAGAAATGGATTACGATTTCGTAACTAAACTTCGAGAATCAATTAACAAAGCCTTATCGTTGAAATGCACCGAAATGCAATCACACAGAAATAATAAATCAGTATTCATTCACCAAGATTTGAAAACATGCAAACAAGTTTTTGTAAGAAACGACGCAATGAAAAAACAATTTCAACCTACCTACGATGGACCGTATAAAGTATTAGAGAGAAATAGCAAGACTTTTAAACTACAAATACCCGGAAGGAAATCTACGATTATATCGATCGACCGACTAAAGCCTGCCTATATTATTAACGAGGATACTGTAGAGGATTCATCATCATCATCAAAACCACCAGCGAGGAAGCTTGAAAATTCATCATCTACATCAACCCAGTTGAAACCTATTTTAAAAACTACGAAATACGGGCGAGTCGTCAAGCCTCCGGTACGCTTTCGCTGGGGGGAGAGTGATGTAGCAGCCAGATTAATCAAACCGAAACGGGAATAAATAATATATACTCCGCTGCTACCATAACGCGGAAGGCGAGAATAAATAAAAAAAAAAAAAAAAAAAAAAACATTTTATTTCCTAATTATTCTTGGCTACTGAGATACTGCGGACTGTATATAGATAATTTGACGTTCTTATAAAGAAACAAGAAGCAGCCGCAAATATCATTCAGCGCCACACCGACTTCACACGCCGCTATCGTCACGTATCCGTCGACCAATGGTGAGCCGTTTCTTCAACGCCGCAGTTCGTTTCCTCTTGCTGTTCCGGAGCTGTATTCCACACCGCCGCCGCCCGCCGACTACGCGTGCGCACCGATCTGCATGTCTTATATAGCCCGGTCCAGCGACGTAGCTTCGTGAACAACAAACAAGTCTCACGCCGGGAAACGAAACGTAGATAATTGTATATTTTAAATAGTTTTCATTGGTCATAAAATAAGCAATATAATTGGCTAGGCAAAATATTAATTGTTACCATTGGCAAATCAATAGTGAGCCAGCCATATAAATATAGGCAAGGTTGATGCAAAAGATATTCCATTCCGAATCCCATTCGACAGTACATTCATAAACATAAACAGTAGTTTCATTTCTCCACCTTAAAGAAAACCACTCGGAGTCTGTTAATAGTGGACAGTTCGTCTCCACTATTACAAGTCGATGACGCGTCAATGGAAACAGTTGCTCTAGTCTTCTAAATATAATATATAAATGATAAGAATATAAAAATCGATTAACAATCGATGAAAAATACATGCTGTTGTTCTAACATAATTGCTCAATATATTTTTAACAACTCATGGAAAAATAAAAGCAAATCGGTCTGTTATGAACAGAACGATATGCTATATGATTATCCAGCATCGATGATTTATTTATTTCCAGTAATTACTAATTGATTAAAAGCGAACAAAAGTTGACATTGATAAAACGAATTGTTATTTTACAGAATTCGTCAAACCGATTAACGAATAAGTAACATTAACAACGTTATCCTTATAGCGACAAAAAATTCATATTGACGTACGAGTTGATATTTTTTACTGTGAACACGTTAATGTAAATTTTAACGAAATATTTTAATTAAAAAAAAAAGGAGAAAGTGTATATTACATTTTCAATTAAAATTTTACCTGTGAGGGGTGTCTGCTGAGGCTTGCGATTTGAGTTTTGACATTGTGTTATTTTCATTTCTTTTCATTTTTGGTAACTTCGAGTACATTTAAAATATTACGACCTATAAATGGTGTCTCAGGGTCGTGTTTTGTGGGAATAGAGAAGAGACAGGAAAGTCTATGATCAGCAGTTTTACAATGATGAAGTTATGAAATAGTTAAAATAATATACCTGCGAAGTTTCTTTTTAAATTTATTGTTTGTGAACATGTTGATAGTTATATCGCAACTATCCGCTCAATAAAATAATATATCTTATAATGTGTCTTACCTAGTTTGAAGAGTCCCGTCACCATTAATCCCAGCACCACTACTCCCAACACCACTTCTCTAGGAAAGACACACCATCGACGCTAATACGACACGTGTTTCGCCTCTACATGAGGTTTCCTCACGTGATATACGAGCCTACTTCTATTATCCTAGATTAGTGGTGTTGGGAGTAGTGGTACTGGGATTAATGGTGACGGGACTAGTGCACGCAATTGAGGGAGGGCGAGAGGTGCTCTCCAAACTAGGTAGGACACATCATTTTATTTTATTGAACGGATGGTTGCAAAGTAACTATTAACATCTTTAGTATAATGGATTTCCGCAAAGTAACGCCTGATTCTATTAATTTATTGTTTGTTAAAACCTAAACCTAAAGCATCATCTTAGATTAATCTTAATTGGACATGGTAGAACATTTTAAAAAGTGCTGTTTGAAAAAGGTCATTCAAAATTTAATTTGACATATTTCCACCATTCATAGAATCATGCATGTTATAAACGATTTCTTAGAAATTCTATGTTAGCTTTCATTTAAGTACTAACGGCACGCAACATGTAGATACCTAATAAAGTTAAACGGCTTTATAGCGAAGGCGTACATATTTCATCTACACAATGTCCTGATATATTAGGTTGTTAATTAATTATATTTAATTATTTAAACACGCAATGTCAGTAACAAATCTGCATGTGTAATGTTTACTTAAGAATACCTATCATTAAGATATGTGTCAAGTATCTAAGTTTGTATAAAAAGGGTTATTATAATGATCGCTACCAAGCTATTTCTAATTTGTCTTGTGTTGTTAATTGTAAACATGATTGTAAGCTATTATTTGGAAAAAAATGGGTTTCTTGCTAGTTCTTCCCAGGACAGATGTTTTTTTTTTGCGAACCAGTGGTAAATGAAAAAATTGACTTTCAATAAGTATTGTTTATAATGTACATTGAATAAAAAAGTTTCTATTTCTGTTTCTGTTTCTGTCAATGTGTAGATTGTAGATATATATTATTTATTATTCTAGATAATTAAGAGCCCATTTAAACATATTATTAGTTTAATATTTTTGATAATATTGATATCAAAAATATACTTAAATTGCTTTACAAAGCTATAGTTTTATCTAGTTTTTAGTAATTCCGTAATAATGTTACATCAAACATATTTGAAATTTATTAAAAATGTTAAAACAATCGTCTCACCGGAAGAATCTGCCGACAATGCCCATTCCAAATTGCCTTCTGTTCGAGTTGTCAGCCAACGGCTCGAGCATGGGTGTGTGAATGCGCGCGCCCCCCGCACCCCAGGAAACACTCCTCTGTGGCCTCCTGTACTCCACACCGCCCGAAACGATCGGCGAACGAGCGCTGAAAACACAAACACTAAATGTACATTCGAAAGAGAAAAGACAGCATTCATGAGAGGCTTTCCGATTACCCAAATGGAATCGCGTTGAAACGGTTGAAATTTGAGTATTGTTTTTCAAAACGGGTATAAATCTAAATAATACTATGTTTTATTTTACAAAAATGGGCAGTATTTTATCTCAGGATCAGAAATGAAAATCAATGACAAGCCTTAAATTTCGTAATTTATGAGTAAAGATCGAATTACTGAAAAGTACAAAAATAATAATTTTAAGTTTCAATTATGTTAAGTGGAGGTCATTCTTATAACACATTTAAAACAATGCAAAAAATACAATGATGATAAGTTTCTCAAATCATTCAGGGTTGTCTGGTAGAGAATGCCACAAGGCATTTAGTTCATCCTTTATATCACTTATTATAAGGTCTGCAATAAAAATAAATAAAAAGTGTTCATATCCTAAAGATTATAAAAGCGAACCAACTCGTACCTCAGAAATACAACTAAAGTGCTTTGTGTTCAGTTCACACAACACCAAAGAATACCATTACGTCATTTTATATGTATAACAGTAAAACATTTATTTATCATATCTTATTACAATTATAATTTAAATAATGTTCATGAAAATAGAAAACATTCAAAAGCTATATCCGCAATATCGTGCACATTGAGAATCTACAATCTGTTATATGAATAGGTAAAGTTCTCAACAGTGGTAAACCCACGCGGCAGCTTTGCTGTTGCACGTATGAGCCGGCGCAAACAGGGATGGTACCACGACCTCACAGAATACCGGCGTGAAGTAGAAGGTCTGCTTCCGCGTTTAGTCTGGTGAGTGTAGGTAGCCGGAGACCTAATTGCCCCCCGCCCTCTGGCCTCTTTAGGTCCCATAGCGATAATGCCGAAACAGACCGACTCTTCGACCACGTCCAAATGGCTACAGATTCGTTGCTACAGCAGATCTCCTCCGCAGAGATCGTGATCGTCGGCAATTTTAACGCCCATCACGCCGAATGCCTTGGTTCACGTTCAACCGATCATGCGGGGGGATCTGTTCATGATTTCACCCTGGCATATGGTCTAACTCAACTGGTTACATTGCCTACGCGGATCCCAGATGTGGATGATCATGCACCTTCCCTGTTGGACATTCTACTGACCTCTCATCCGGATGGATATCATATTTCCGTCGACGCTCCTTTAGGCTCTTTGGACCATTGTCTTGTACGGAGTGTGGTGCCACTCACGCTGAAATCGCAGTTGCATTCTACAGGCTAACGCTATGTTTGGCACTATAGGTCAGCTGATTGGGATGGGATGCGATCTTTGCATCCTACCCTTGGGGGCGGGTTTGCTTCTCACCGGACGATCCCAACATTGTTGCTGATTCTGTCGCTGATGTGGTACTTCAGGGTATGAAACTTTTTATTCTTTCCTCTGTGGTGCTCATCGGCGGAAAATCTCAGCCATGGTTTGGTCGCTCCTGTAAAATGCGCATCAACGTCCCGGGATGTAAACACCAGCGCTCTAAAAAAGGAAGTATAATTTCGCCTACAGGTTCTATTCGCTTTCCTTCTGAAACCCGCGCATTCTGGTCTCTTGTCAAGGCTGTCCAAGGGAATTTCTGTCGGCTATCTCTTCCGTCTCTGCACAGGGAGGATGACTCACTGGCCCATGCCGCAAAGGAGAAAGCCGATCTGCTAGGCTCTTTCTTTATGTCCAACTCGACCCTCGATGATGGAGGGAGTATGCCACCGACCAGCCCACGGTGTGAGTGCTCCATGCCGAAGGTGTGGTTCACACAGCGCTCGGTTCGCAAAGCGTTCTTCTCCCTGGACATCCACAAATCGAGTGGGCCTGACGGAATCCCCCCAATTGTGCTGAGGACGTGTGCTCGAGAGTTGGCACCGGTGTTAAAGCGTCTTTTCCGGGCTCCTACTCCCTAGGCGTAGTCCCAAAATCATGGAAGATGGCTTTCGCCCACCCGATCCATAAAAAAGGCGACCGCTCGGACCCGTCCAACTACAGGCCCATCGCGACCACCTCCTTGTTTTTCAAAACAATGGAGTCCATTGTAAACTGCCAGCTTCTGATGTACCTTGAGGATTACCAGCTGATTAATGATCGCCAATACGGTTTTCGTTGTGGTCGCTCAGCTGGTGATCTTCTGGTCTGCCTGACTCATAGATAGACGGCGGCAGTAGAGTCCAAGGGGGAGGCCGTTAGTTTGGACATTGCGAAGGCCTTCGATCGGGTTTGGCACAAAGCGCTGCTAGCTCCAATTACAAGCCTATTAATGTTGGTGTTCCACAAGGCTGCGTGCTATCACCAGCGCTGTTTCTTCTGCACATCAATAATATGTTGCAAACCCGAAACATTCATTGCTATGCAGATGACAGCACTGGTGATGCTCTGTACACCAGCCGTGCCAATATTCCTCGGGAAAACCTCTCCGAGTACCGGGACAAACTTGTGTCTGAAGCCTTTGTTGAACAAAGCCTCAATTTGGAGGTCACTAAATCTAGTCCAGTTTAACCCTCAGCAGACACATGTTTGCGCGTTAACTACTAAAAAGAACCCGTTTGTCATATCTCCTTAGTTTCAAGGCACTCCCCTATTTGCCTCAGCCAGGATCGGTACCCTCGGCATCGACATATCGAGTGACGTGCAGTTTCATGGTCACTTGGAAGAGAAGGCCAAATTGGCCTCTGAAAAACTTGACGTGCTCAGCAGAGCAGGACAATATTTCATGCTAGCACACCGCCTGCAACTTTACAAGGCGCAGGTTGGGCCGCACATGGAATACCGTTCCCATTTCTGGGCTAGGGCTGCCCTGTGCCAGCTCCTTCCACTTGACCGCATCTAGTGCAGAGCAGCTCGAATCGTCGACAACCGAGTGCTTCCCGATCGGCTCAATTCACTGGCGCTGCGAAGAGATGTTGCATCTCTTTGCGTATTTTATCGCATCTATCACGGGGACTGCTCTAAGGAATTGTTCGGATTAATCACAGCCACCAAATTACATGAACGCACTACCCGGAAAACCTCCTGGTACGGTCCACCACTGTACGTGTCAGTAGGAGTTTTCTTCCGCGTACGATCCCTTTGTGAAATAGTTTACCACCGGCGATTTTCCGGACCGATATGACCTGGAGACCTTCAAGAAAAGAGCTTTCTCCTTTCTAAAGGGCCAACAACACACCTGCAAGTCATCTCGTGTTGCGGATGTTCATGGGCGGCGGTAGTAATTTAACATCAGGTGAACCGTATGCTCGTTTTCCCCCTCTTCTATAAAAAGAGGTAACTGCTGAAAATATGTATGGAACTTAAAACTAACTACGGAACGGAAATACTTTAGTGCATTACATAAAAATTGGATTGTCAATCAAAACAAGAATGTACCATCTGCAGTGCCGACATATTTTCATTAGGTCCCCTGTCAGGAACAAGCAATTCTTATAATTTAATTCTGTATGTTCTGATATCACACATTAGACAAAAAATCGTGAGTACGCCTATCCTATTATTACAGACTCAAGTTAAACAAAAAAATGTTACAAATATATTTTACATTCATTTCCTTCTGTATGAAAGTAGGATATGCAAAAAAATAAAATTTGTAGCGTAGCCTTTGATTATATACCTCAGGTATATAATCAAAAGCTATGCTGCAAATTTTATTATAGCATAGCATTCCGTAAACGTATAAATTTTGTTGTATTTTAAAATTTTCAGTTGTTATCAGGAACATGCTGCCCATCTCCTGTTTCCGTTTCTCTATGTTGCCTCTTACGACACCCCTTAGGCTTATAATGTAGTGTTCTTGTACTGATACCACACGGTTAATGTAACTTGTAATATAAACTGAATCCTAACTAACATAAATATTGATGCTACGTTCGAAATACATGACTTATTGTTATTATTTGACTCTTATATTCAAATTATGATGAATTATTCTGAGTGATATATACTATGGAATTATCCTTATTCGACGATTTATTCTTATGTAATAAATAGACTGTATAAGAAATTGATGTGAGATTACTTAATTCGATGCGCATATGTAAGTTGGACCCGAGATTAAGTCTGCGATTTCGCCGACCCTTGTCACAAAGATCTGGGTAAAACTATATCTCTGTCAGATAAAGACACAACGCACTTAATGTTATTGGAATAAATCAATCATTTATACCATAAAAATTTCAATGTATATAAAATTTCTTGCTTAATTATGAAGCAGAAATTCTAAAAATTTGATTGCAGTGAAGCCGATCAAATGAGGCAAGTCGTGGACAAATATATCGGCACAAAAGATAAACATAATAACATATGATAAAAGTTACAAATAATGTACATTTTACATTAGAACATTAAATAAATTAGAAATAAACGAGAACCGTCTTTGTGCCTGCTGCGCAGTGAAGAGTCTCGTTCATTTCTGAAAAGACTACAAATTTTTAAGTTTTTTTTTTTTGTATAAGAGATATCCTAGTTTCTTTAAAATATTTTCATTCACACAGAGAGCTTTAAATCAGTACTTAAAACTATGATTAACTAATTTATTGGTGTCAACGGGGATCGAACTAGATTTGCTCGTGTCATTTGCAATAAAAGGCCAACACTTATCATCAGAAGCATGGCTATCTATAAAATTAGTACTTCTACTTAAATCAGCCTTTAACATAGACAAGAAAAATGAAGTACAAAGAAAATTTTTGAATCATAAACACAAGGAGTCTTCAGTCATAGGCCGATTTACTTTAATACACAAAGCAATTCAATCAGTTCACAGTTGAATAACAAGTTCCCCAACTTCCCGTCTCGACGCTCGCCCGCTAGCAGTAATATGTATAATTGTAATTAGCAGCTAATTAATCTGTCAACTTAGCGCAACATGACGATGTATTAAGAGCTCGGTTCTAGCTTTAGCACGATTATTAACTAAAGTTTTCGTACTCACTTTGAGCTACTTTACATTAACAGTACTTTATTAATTAAACAAAAGATATTAACGTTTCGCTATCACAACGCTTTTACGTTGATGGGATAAATTAACTATCAAACATTATTACAAGTTCTTAAATTACACCCAGTAAGTTCTACGGAAATAAAATTAACATTATTAAGCTTACCTCTTACGTCTTTCGTCGTTTTTTTAATCTACTGCGAATGTTGTTGCATGGATTTCATATTGAAAATTAAGGAAATTTCCAAATTATATTAAACCCCATTGTGAAATAATTAGGTTGCACGAAGGATACCTTTTCTGTGTGTAAGAGTCCGTCAGGGTGGATACTACTCCGTGACCTAATCCTGCAGCTAAATCCGAGCCTGTATAATAACACGCTTTAAGGCATTACATCACAGTCATCAGAGATGATGCACCTTTAGCCTTTTTGTTTGGAGTCAGCTGCAAATGTCAATGGATTCTGCAGTCAATTCAGTCCACCTACTTACCATTAGGTAGACTAAAAGCTTTCAAAACTTCAGTTATATAAGAAAATAACATCTAAATAATCTAAATAAACCTAAAATACATATATTATTATATTTTGTTTGATTGACTTACTGTGATCCCCCATAAATCTCTTAAATATATAAGCCCACCTCCAATTAATTTTTCACAAACGTTACATCAGATACGGGCTAGGTTCGGAGGAGTTAGTACCATAACTAATGCGTGTAAACATTTTTAGCCATATAGGTAATAAGTCACCTTTTTCATACTTATTTTAAGCGCCTTCGTTACCTCTATACTTATTACATACCTACATATATAAGCTGGCAATACATTTTGACAACATTAGATAAATGAAAATAGATTCATTAAAACTACACTATAAGTATTAAAATTTAATATTGGAAGATCTTTTTTTGAAGACACAACTATGTACTAATGACGCTCTGACGATTACTTTCCTTTCATTGCAGTGCATATAAGGATAATAATCTGTGCTATCCAGCCATATGCATGTTTTTATAAAAAAAAACAAAATAAACTTTTTAATATCTATCTAGGGTAACGGTCATAATTGTCTTTAACTAGTCGCTACAGTTGATAACTTCCGGAAATGTTTAAAATCGATCAGGAGGACATCATCATCATCAGAGGATCATCATAGTTACCCTTTTGGCCCATCAGCGACATCCCCATCATCATGGTGCTGCTGATTTAATGGTGACGTCATCGATGGAGGAGCAAAGAATACGTCGTCTACGTCTGCATCATCGTGCGGACTGATCGCGCTGCCGCGGAACGATCGTGACCACTGCATTGAAGAAGATTGACGGGAACGACGTGTGACCGCCTGTGACAAAATAATAAAAGAATTATAAATATAAGGTTTATTATATTCAAACTATATAATACAGTATAGTATAGTAAGAATTTACCCTGTAGGATTTTTATAATCGTAATTTGCACAGGGAACAGACAAACCGGATATAATTATTGATGAACATAAAATACGTTTTATACGTGGTAGAGCCATGCTGCAGTTATATTAGTAGCATAGTTGTAGCACAAATGGGTCGGCTCGACCGGGGACGGAGCACGCTCTCACAGAATACCAGCGTAAAATAGTAGCTTAATGCTGCTGTGTGTGTTCGTATGGTGAGTGTAGAGAACCGGAGACCCTTTTTATTGGAAACGAGGCAATCCCTCTTAGTCCTCGCGGGTGACAACGCATCTGCATTTCGATTTGTAATCGAGGATAGATGTAGATGTCTATGGGCCGCAGCAACCACTTACCATCAGGTGGACTGTGTGCTCGTTTGTCATCCTATCCTATAAAAGAAAACGTTCCGATGGAAAAAGAAGCTCTCGATGGTGGTGATTGGCTGGTACTTTTAGGCGTGTTCGTACTAAAGTGTCGGATGAAACATGTAGCAAATACCTGCATGCAGAAACGTGTTTTGTGGCCTTCCTTCTGTAAAGCCTATGTTCAGGGGTGGGAATTGTTAGTATCAACCCACAACGCAGTAGGTAAACGTTAAGTTGCTGCGTTATTAAGCTGTAATTAAGTACGTAGTATAATAGCTTAGCACAATCATTAATTTCAGTGTCTTTCCTAATTTATTATCGTATTGGGAATAGTGGTGTTGGAATTAGTGGGGAGGGGGTGAGTGAGTGCACGCAATTGAGGAACGGCAGAAGGCTCTTTAAACTGGGTAAGACATATCATTTAATTTTATTACGCGGACCTTAATCAATTTTTAACGTTTTACATAACAAAATGGATTTCGCTCAAAGTATTCACTGGTTCTATTAATTGTATTATATATTTACATTTTACTTGAGTTTATTTCTTTCTGTGTTTGGAGTACTATAATAAATAAATAAACAACATCAACATTTTCGATCTCGTATATATTTATCACCCTATCTCTTTTAGTAAGTGTTGTTAGCGCCGAAATTATAACGTCAGATGAAAATATCCAAAAAAGCTAGTCTGCTCTCCAAAATTATTTTTTTTTATGGAAAAATCGTCATGGATGAATGGACCCTCCGTTACGGGAACCTCAAAGAATTCATGTTCTCTTAACGGCTACGGTTGTCGCTATTAACGCGAAAGGAGGGGCATCCTGGAAGGGGGTGTCCTGGCATCTCGTTATGGTAAGTAATCGAAGTCCCTCATCACTTTGAAGGACTTATTTATGATTACGATTTATAAACTTATTTTATCTCTGATGTAGTATTCACTGGCCCTCAGCATTAGAACTCGTCAGATATGCCAAGTACCTTGTACTGCGGGCACCAAGTGGTCTATCACTGCGGATTATTGCAAATCCACATTGTGATCGACGAGGTCTATTTATTCAGACTGATACTATAGATTATTTTAAATTAAAGGGTAAATAAGTTTATCATCGTGTTTACCTCTGAAGTTGAACGATTTTTTAAGCGCTCATATTTATATTATGAGCTAATATAGTTAAAACAATTTAAATCACTTTATCACAAACCAAGGTTACAAATGAACCATGGCACCGTTAATAACATTACATTACAAAACAATAAAAAGAGTTTTTTTTATATAGAATAAGGGTGACAAACGAGCACACAGTCCACCTGATGGTAAGTGGATGCTGTGTTAAATAGTCATCTACATTTATCCTCGATCAAGAATGCGGATGCGTGGTCACCCCTGAGGACTAAGATGGAATTCCTCATTTGCAGTAAAAAAGGGTCTCCGGATCTCTACAATCACCATACGTAACACAGCAGCATTAAGCTACTATTTTACGCTGGTATTATGTGAGAGCGAAACCCTTTCCCCGGTCGAGTCGACCCATTCGTTCATCATTCAGGCACTTATCCTCGATAAAGAATCAAAATGCATATGCGCTGCTAACCCTGACGACTAAGGTGGAACTCTGAAATTATGTGGATGTAAATTAGAGTTTTGTGGCAGTGTCTCCGTCTTTGTTCATTGGTTCACATAGATAGGACAAACATGGTGTACGTTATTCTACACTTCTGCAACGCTTAGCACGAGCATGTTCGTGATAGATTTGAGACGTTATTTCTTTAGATCGTCAGTTTCATTATCTCTTTTTTATATGTACTAATCTTAATACTTATAAAATATAAAATATTAAGGTCAATAAAAAATAAATGGAACACAAATGAAAAATACTGCTTTGAATGTTGGTGTAAAATTTTTGTTCAAATAAAAACGAACCGCCTTCAAAAACCGAACTTTAAAGCATAAAATAATATTTTATTTACATTGGAAATATACCCTGTCTAAATTTTAAAACATTAATTTAGAAATCAATTTAATTACATTAATGTATTAATATATATTTTTAATTAAGTTCAAAGAACTTTACTACTAATATTTTTTTGTTTTTATTATGTCAGCCAGTATTTTCGCTGGCAACGTGTAAAAGCATTTTTCACATTAGTACATTTTTTTCCATTTCACCGATCGAGCCGATGCATTCATATATCTATAATAAACCTACCCCGCGTTAATAGAAATTACCAACAAATTGATTTTATATTGAGATATGCATTATATGAAAGTCTAAAGAAACTGTACGATTACGTTGCCGAAGTTTAAAATGTTATCCATCATAATTCTACCGCAATATTTCAAAGGAGGTCGTATAAAATACATGTTATAATGGAGTATAAAAAACCTTACAATGTCACAGCGCGTCCGTCGATGAACACTTTGAAATATCTTTTATATCAACCCCGTTCTTGCAAGGGAAGCAGTTGTATTTCGCGATGTCATAGGAGAGTTCCTTCCGGAGATATTGCTAGCTAGAGCATACCGCGTCTCCAGCCATTATTTACGACGCCGTAACGGTCGAGTCGATCCCGAAAGACTTCGCTTTTATAATTTATCGCTCGCAAATATTGTGGCCTAATTCGTTTGGAGCATATTTGGAACACGCTAAAAAGAGAAATTATTGAGGGTTCGGTTTACTAAATATATAGACATAATTGAACAATGTCTTCTTTTTTACATTGTCCATTTTAAAAGGTTAGAAAGGTTTTACATAGTAGATTACATGTTGCAAGCTATATTCTGGCTGTAGCGAAAATGGGTCATCTTGACCGGGTTAGAAACACGCTCTTAAAAAAACATCTCAATGCTGCTGTGTTTGGTATGGTGAGTGTCGAGAACCGAAGACCCTTATTTTAGTCCTCAGGGGCGGGGGGGAGGGGGACCCAGCTGCATTTTTATATCAACTTTAGATGTAGATGTCTATAGACTACAGTATCTATTTACCATCAGGTGGTATTTGTGCTCGTTTTTCGTCCTTATTCTACAAGAAAGGCATTTGTGATAAGTACTCAGATGCTAAGTGCTCGCTGTAAATTCTGCAGTACGCGAGACATTCGGGTTCGATACCCGCTGACACCAATAAAATAAAATGCAATATAAAGTGGTAATTTACAATGTCTTAGAAATATATGTTTTTTTATGATATTGCTGTATGCTGGGCACAGTGAGACTTATACTGTGGACTGTAGCTTTACACTTTTACAATTAACTATTACTTGTGGTTATTAAGACAGTTTTTAATAATATTTTTGCTATAGGTATATATTAAAATACATGATTAAGCTGCGAATTAGCAAATATTTCAATGCAAATTTTTCCACCATCAAATAATCCGCTTTTTAGAGTGATGTGTAGTGAAGTGTAAAAATATCCACTATCCCACATCGTCCCGTGAGATTATGGTAAAATACCTTCTATGAGACTACTTTCAGGGGAGGTCTACGGTCCGCAGTGTGGACTTTAGTAGTTTTAAAAAAATGCTTCGTTTTCCTGTTTTTCCTAATAAGTTTCGGTAATGATGAACCGTAGTAGAACCAGAGTGACCGACATAGCCCAACGGATAAGTAAGCTGAAGTGGCAATAGGCCGACAAGCTCGAAGAACCGACAACCGTTGGGGAAGAAGGGTTCTCGAGTGGCAGCCTCGTATCGGTAGGCGAAGTGTAGGGAGACCCGCCACTAGATGGAGTGATGACCTGGTAAGACATACAGGAAGTCGATGGATGCAGGCGGCTCAGGACCGTGCTTTGTGGCATGCCTTAGGGGAGGCCTATGTTCAGCAGTGGACTTGTGAAAGGCTGTAATGATGATGATGATGATGAAAGATAATTTCATTTAAATGCGGTGTGTTGTACGAAAATGTATAAAAGTATGCCTCTGATAAAAAATTGAACTAATGAGACGTTAACAATGCCTATATTCGAACAATAATGCTTCAGCATACAATACATCCATTACATTTATTTATGTATTATAACATCTTTATATTTCTCGACGATGTTTTCACATAATTTTCAACATAACAATACAAATATTTGTAATGTCTCTATTTAATAGGTTTTATTTGATTTATTATGTTTTTGCTGTATTTTATGTTATTAAATTCGATAAAATCTAAGTATGGAATATATTATATATATGATACCATAAATAAGCGTTAGTCTAATGAGTTACGAACAAAATCCCTCTACGAGTACGAATATCTACGGCGTAGATTTAAATTTGTAGAATATGATTTAGACTTCACGTGATGAGGGTCGATATTCTCTGTGTATATAAATTTTAATAAATTCTATTTAAATTTCGCGCGCCATCCTAAAAACTTTTCTATAATGACATGTTTTATTGTATACTAAAATTGTTTTATAATCAAGAAACTGTGTGAAGAGACGACCAAATTAAAAAAAAATGAATATTTTCTATTTTATGTTACTACTAGGTTATAGCATCTCGAGGCTTGGCGTAGCAGCGTAGTAGGAACCATTACTGCATTCGATTCCATGGGCCA